GATCACTTATGCAAATGCCTCTCTGACTCCTCTCTCCAGATTTCCCTCTCCCCTTTTCCCCTCTTCTCTACATCCCGCTCCATCTCAATCTGTTTCTTCCTCTCCAGACGTTCTTCTCATCCCCCTCTCTCCCTCATCCTCCCTCCCCCTCCCTCCCCCTTCTCCTCACTACGCCTCATTTGCTGCTTTCCTCACTCGTTCCTTCAGTTCTCGTCCATCTTCCTCACGCGACCGCCCTCGCTCCTCTCCCCTCCCCCCCCCCCACACTCTCCACCTACTACCCCTTTCCATAGACAAGCATCCTTCCGCTCTTCTCTGTCTCTCTCTCTCTTGCTCTGTATTTTCTCTTCTCTTTCTCTTCTCTTCTCCTCTCTTCTCTTTTTTCTCTTACATTGTCTTCTTTTCTTTTCCATTTTTGTTCTCTTCTCTTCTCGTCTTTTCTCTTCTCTTCTCTTATATTTTCTATTATTTTCTTTTCCTTTCTTCTCTTCTCTTTGCTTTTATTTTTTTCCCTCTTCTCTCCCTTTCTTGTCTCTCCATTTATCATTCATTCGAGTCATATCTATCTTCCAGTCTTTTCATTCATTTTTCTTCGCGTCACCATGTTCTCTTTTTTTCCTTTTCTTTCCTTCTCGCACGGCATCTTCCTCTTTTTCTTGTATCTTCGCCTTTCACATTGCTTTACTCGCTTCTACTTCATTATCGTTCTGAAAAGTTGGACTAAAATGCAGTTATTGACAGCAGGTTCTCCCCATATCATTATTTTTATGGTTGTCTTTGACTCCGTTAAGTCGTTAACTTCCTCATACCTGGCGTAAAATGGCATTATAACTGCATCTTCGCACATGACATAAAACATTCCAATTCATGCAGTCACATCATAAAAGCCATTATTGTCATTGCCACCCTCATGATCTGCGAGAAGAAGGAACCACGGCCCCTGCGCGCACGTACGGAAGGAGTCCAATTAGTCAGCGTGTGATGTCTGGCTGCCTGGCTCTTGCTCCTGCGTGACATCGGCGTCATGATGACCTGCGTCTTCATGCATGGAGATGAGCTAGAGAGAACCGTGTGGTCGTGACCGTGAAATCATTTTGGAATGTCGTTTTTTTGTTGTTGTTTTTTTCAAGAGGTCTTTTTCTGGGAGAATTTCGTCGGATTCCTTCGCATGGCGTCGGCGCTTATCCTCGTTCTTATACTTTAAGTAATGTTGCGCGACCTAAACGCGTTTGTATTTCTCAAAATGCATCGCCCTCTGTTTTGAGGCGGAGGGCTTGGCGCGTTTCGCTCAGTCTCCCTAGTCCACTGCACAAGGCAAAAGAATTTCTTCTCCAAGTTGCTTCTGTCTCTTTTTCTTTTCTGTTGCTCTAGATTTCTGCCGCCTGATTGATGTGTTCCTTTAGCGACCACGTCTGGGAGATCTCACCCGCTGCTCCTCGCAATCTCCGTCTCCTCTTTCATCGCTTCTTCCCTTTTCTGTGTCGTTAGGCTTTGGAGTCCGAGAGCTGGCTACGTTATGCCTCCCGCGCAACGCAAGTCTCGCAACAGGAGATTTTAGTGCTTAGTAACAGCAGCACGTCTTCACCTGACATCTATTCACAATACATCACAGCCCTTGAATTAGTGGTGCTGCCGTGACTTGCAAGACACGCTGCGATGACTAGCCTTGAATCCTCGCAATGTCGAGGTGACGAGCCGAGTCAGTGATAGAAAAAATAAAAATACTAGACATAAAAATATATAATCCATGGACTAAAACATACCTACAGATAAAAAACACAGATGGCCAAATCTTACAACAGCAAGCTATAACGAAATGGCCGAACAAGGTACTCAACTAAGATAAATATAAACAAGGCAAGAGAAATCAAGCCACAAATTAATAACACGATGGATCATAATCAGCCTGGAAGTGGGCCGGCAGATCCACGCGGCGCGGAGGCCAGCGGCGTGTGCCTGGCCGCCAAGTGGGTCTGTGCCCGACGAGACGCAGCGATCGGGAGAGGGAGCGAGAGAAAGCCGCCGCCGCTGAAGAGAAAGCTCCTATTAACAGCTACCGGTTGACCCATGCCCCACAGGCCCTCCCGCCGATATGAGGTCACGGCAGGTGTTGTCGAGATGGATAGTGTTGCTGGGCCGCTTTCCTTTTTGCTCGGGAATATAAAGCGGCTTTTCCCGGTTTCATTATGAGTTGCAGGATTGCGCTTGCCGGACGTGCTCACGAGGAATGAATCACTGCCGGCTGGAAATGACGGCTAACCCCTTTGCATTGCTGCTCCCGCCGCGCCGCATAACAGTGCATCACGCTGCTCGCGGTTTCACCCGGACGCTTGCTTCTTCCAGACTTCCAGTTCATTGCTCCTTTGTTTGCTTGCCTGATTGTCTCTCTGTCTGTCCGACTGTCTACCAGGCAGTAACACGCACGCACGCACACATACACACACACACACACACGCACACACACACACACACACACACACACACACACACACACACACAC